TGGGTAACTGTGCGAAGTGGCGTACCGCAAGGAAGCGTTCTTGGACCTGTTTTGTTCGTCGCTTTTATAAACGATCTCCCAGAAGTAGTGTCAAGCGTGTGCTCCATGTATGCCGATGACACAAAAGTTTATAATACAGTTAAGGATGCATCAAATAAAATGCAACTGCAAAATGATCTTGATAGTTTAGTTGACTGGGCTGATGTGTGGCAGCTGCGTTTCAATGCTGACAAGTGTAAAGTACTTCACCTCGGCAAGAACAATGAACAGCAAGCTTACAGCATGAGAAGACACGGTTGCAACGAGANATAACGGAACTATATGCCTAAGACTATTGCAAGTCAAGCTATCCCCTTTAACCTTCCCCGAGTTTTACGGTTGCATGGTTACATACTTTTGGTTAATAAGTTTAGTACCGTATTAACACATTACATAGCATTAACATGTAACCTTAAAACTTGCAGAGGGCTTATGGAAATATTCATTATACGAGTTGTGCGAGTGGATGCTAAGCGAATAATTGTGCGAGTAAATGCTAAGCAATTACATAGAGTGTTCACGATTCGACAACTAAGATTATTATTCATATGAAAAGCATGAGTACCGATTATAATGACGAAACTCATCAAGGGTGAAGAAAAAATATTTTGTTTGGTATTGCATATCATAAGTAAGGAAATAAAACAACAATATTTTGTTTAGTATTCGTTGTTAGCAAATGAGGTAATAAAATAACTTTATTTAATTTGACATGAGTTTTAATATATTCGATGCCATTATTTATCTTTAAATCATTTACGAAGCCTTTCATAACACACCTACAATTACTGTGTAAAAGTGAATGCTTCACTGAGAGAAATGGGTGGTCTGGATGACCCACTTTGATGAGTGAACCGCGTCCGAATGGCAATGCACTTTTTCGACTCACTTGCCCCCATTTGTGGATAATACTGACCTATTTCGGGCCTTGTAAATTTCAGGTATGACTCACATGTGGCGATAGGTCGCTCTGACGCCCAGATGCTCCCTTCGTATCCGTGCTACGGGTGGCTTCAGAGGCGATGCCACAAGAGTCATGCCTGAAATTTAATGGGGTATCGACATTCAGACACGGTTGACTTATCAAAGTGGGTCATCCAGACCCACCCATTTGTCTCAGTGCTCATGAGTGGAGCGATACATGTCAAACATAACATAACATAGTGATGTCGGCTCTGAAGTGTAGGCCTGATGTAGCCTGTCGCCGATTCTTTTCCATTTTGTGCCCTGTTAAAACTGATTTAGTACATTTGTTTGAATATGAAAATTAATTCAGAAAACCTTTGAAAAACGTGTAATTAATATTGACTACTCCATTGTGTATATTGTATTTGTTGAGACAAACTTAATTTCATTTATTAATAAGAAGAGATTTTCTACTGAAGTAAGTTTAAGATTTGACCCATGACCCACGTAGGCAGATGATTTCATCAGATGGCAACGTATCACGATTTGATGATGCAGGACCTTTCATTGATCATCGTGGGACCACCTTCTTCATGCTGGGTTCCACAGCTGAAAAAAAAAATCATCAAAATTGTTCGTTAAGGTAATAAGGTAAAGAAAGGATATTTTCGGCAATAAATTTGAACAATCGAGTTCCAAAGGGTTCTAATTCATTACTTTAATTACGGTACGTTTTCGCTTTATGTATTACCATATGTATTCGCGTCGATTTCAATTATTATATTTTTTACACAATTACTGACAAATTCAATAGTCTATTGAATTGGTTGGTAGATAGCTTCCGTAATTGTAGGATAATAGGGAGGTGTACAAGTTCAAGGATTAGATGGTTTTATTATTTCTCCATCTACAAAACATATGCCTGGGGACAAAGATGAGCATTGGAACATGACATGGGGTTAATTAATTTATCTAGCATCTTCAACGCATAGTAATATAACCTAGCTCCGCTGTGCAATTCCTATGCCTATGAATTTACAATTATATAATAGATAATAATAATAACAGTGCCACCGTTTAGTAGGCTGTAGGCCTGTCGCCAATTCTTAACATCGCAGAACATTCGCAGCTTGTTGCGGTCTCGAACGCGCAACTCACTGCTCCAATTTTGCTTGACTGCTCCTCGTTGATTCTGACCAGAAACTGGCGCACATGCGGAGCCGTATCAAACACGCACATGTCTGCTACAATTTTGGTACTTTGAGCTTTAACAACTGGGCCACCCGGCCTGAAGTAGACTAAAGATTCTTTATTTTATACGATTAAAACGAGTGACTTTTGTATTGTATTTATAATTTATTTGGCTAAAACATTAATTTCTTAAGAATTTCATAGCAACGATCCGGCGACCAGCACTAGAATATTAAGAACAATAGCAATACAATATTAAGAATGCATTGACACTTATATTATTAAGAATATTAGGAATGTGATTTCAAGAATGCGTGGACACTTATATTATTAAGAATATTAGGAATACGATATTAAGAATGTGTGGACACTTATATTATTAAGAATATTAGGAATACGATATTAAGAATGTGTGGACACTTATATTATTAAGAATATTAGAAATACGAATTAAGAATGTGTGGACAATTAAGAATATTAGGAATACAATATTAAGAATGCGTGGACACTATATTGTTAAGAATATCAGGAATACAACTTATATTATACGTGGACACCTATAGTATTAAGAACATTAGGAATACGATATTTAGAATAAGTGGACACTTATATTATAAGGAATATTAGTAAATTTATTTTTATTAATTATTAGGAATACGATACTTTAATACCGTACGTGGACACTTATATTATTAAGAATATTAGTAATACGATAATAAGAATGTGGGGACACTCATATTATTAAGAATATTAGGAATACAATATATGGAATACGTGTACACTTATATTATTAAAAATATTAGGAATACCTTCAGAACACTTATATTATTAGAACACGATAATAAGAATATGTGGACATGTTTAAGAATACGCGGCCATTTGACCAAGTTGGATACATACGGCCCAGCAAATTGAAGGCAGTATGCTCAGATGTCAACAATAAACAAAAGAAATACCATAATAATAAATATAACAGTTTCAGCATTTATGAGGCCATATGCCTGCTGCCTATTCTTAACAACGCAGAACATTCACAGCTTGTTGCGGTCTCGAACGCGCAACTCACTGCTCCAAGTTTTGCTTGACTGCTCCTCGTCGATTCTGACCAGAAACTGGAACACGGGTTGCCTGCCAAAAACCACCACTGCCCTGGATGTAATGGACCATCATGATTCCTGCCTTCCGGAACGTAGCCTTCAACAATTCAAGCCGTCCATCTCTAGGCCATGAGTCGAACCAGCCCTCGGTCGAACGGACACTTGTCGAAGGACGATAAATTTAGGAACAGAACTATACTATCTGAAACCTAACCTCAGATGCGGTGAACGCAAAATTACGTAATTTAACAATGCCCGGAAGTCAGATTCGATCCGCGGCCTGGTGGTGCACGGCAGGTTCTATGCATGGCCGGAGGAAGACAAAGCCGAGTGGTTCACGGCTGATTGGTGGATGTCCGGAGAGATCCAAGGCGTTCGATTCAGGGCTTATTGGTGCACAAAATTGGTGGTGCACGGCTGTGCTCCCCTGGCGCACATGCAGAGCTGTATCGAACACACGCATGTCTGCTCCAATTTTGGTACTTTGAGCTTTAACAACTGCAGGGCCACCCAGCCTGAAGATTATATAATTCTGAAGATTATTTATGTTATACGATTAAAACAAGTGACTTTTGTATCGTATTCATCATCTATTTTACTACTGCATTAATTTCTTAAGAACTCCATAGTAACGACTCGACAACCAGTGTTCTCAACTTAATTGCCTGTAGAACCATCCAACATACGAGTATCATATACATATGATTGCCGACGATCCAATCCTTCGAGGTGATGGTGTTGGTTGAAAGTTATTGGAGAATGACGTTTCAACCGTTAACTATGTGGAATAGCAGCTTGTGAGCTGAAGCATTGTTGGTTTAAAGTTCGTGAGGTACGATGGGTCAATTGAGTACAGCTGCTTAGGTGCCACTGCCAGGATGACTATATCAATAACATTTAGAAGGTTGATGTTGGCTCCAGGGCTGATTTGAGGTAATTTGCTGGTCTATGGCGCGGCACCTCTCGTTCGGCGGCTCGGCGCGAGAAGTTGAGAGACGGTGGTTTGCAGCTGTTCACACGCGATTTCGTAAAATAGCCCGAGAACAGTAAATTCTCACCCCCGATTTTCTAGAAGCACCCGAGAGGACGAAAATTTTACCCGCAATTTTCCAACTTCACCCTTGAAGAGCCTCTTTTTACCCGCGGTATTCTGTAAAATCTGCCCATTATTCCTGTCTGGCAAGCACTGCTGCTGCTAGCAAGACAAGTATGCTCTTGCTGCTGCTGGCCTACTTGTTTTGGAGCGTGCGGCCCTCCCGCAGACTTTTCACTTTTCACACTTTCTTTCAGGGATATTTTAGAGGTAGTAAATGTATTATTTCTTAATTTGCTTTATGTTACATAGATAGTAAAAATGTTGAACTTTACACCACTATTTTTAGTTTTGCAATATTTTGATTAGTTTAGCTGCTACAACATTTCTACAAAATGTGGGATGCCTGTCCCCATTTACCCTGACCGTCCTTTATTCCCCGTTTGACGGTACTATAGTATATGGTTTATTATATACTATATATATAAATTTTTGGACTGTAATCTAAGCAAAGGGGAACTGCAGTTTATGTGCAGTAGAATAAAAGGTTCTGCAATAATATCCTTAATTTAATTGTCTTTATTCCATAATATAAAATATGCTAAGGTATCCACTCTATCTAATAATGTTTATATCTCGCAAAAAAATTGAAATGGAAAATCATGTCTGTAGACATTATTATTAACCCCATATTTATTAATAAACCATAACAATAATCCCATCTCCTCTTTGCAGAATCTAAGAACAAAATTAGGTTAAATAACTACCCATATAAAATTTAATCGCTGAACTTCTGACAATTAATTACTTTCTGTAGAGTTATCTTTTCCTACCCATCTGCAGACTGAAGAAGAACAGCTAGCATAGTTTGCAATGTCAGGGTCTCAGTCACCTCTCCCAGCCCATGTAGATGAAGCCTTGAGGTGGCTTGTGCATGACTACATTGATGATGCCATCTTGGGTGAGTTCCAGACTTTGGTTATGGCTGAAATAACTTGCATCAACTTCATTCCAACTTCCAATCTTAAGAACATGAATATATCCAATAATCCAAAGACTGTGAGAAATTTTACTGCAGGGAATACTATCAACAATATGTGGCTCAAGTAGATAATTTGATTTTTTGTGAATATTTAGCTCAAAAAATAGATTATCTGAGACATATATTGTGGCACCTGAATTTAATTTGAGGCATAATAATAGAAAATGTGCCTCATCCTTGATTCTTTATCTAAGCTTTTTATATAATTGCTGTCTCAAACTTTTGAATATCTATGTACAATCTTTGCTGTCTTCAATTCTTCAATTATTTCCTGGCTCTTTTTAAGTTGTTCTGTAGCCATTGAATATATGAATGTTCTTTGTTCTGGAAGATTTGAAGCCCCAAAGTCTGAATCTTCATCACAGGTCTGAGACTGGCTAAACTTACAAAGAAGTTTTTGGAAATAATTCAAATAAAGAATAAAATTTTTAAAAAATCATGCTAAGTCCTTCCAAATTTGCCTGAATGTTTGAATGATAATTAATTAGATAGCTTTGATTTTTGAGGCAAACAGAGAATGGCATCTTTAAATTATGAGCTTGCTGGTCATTTTACATTTTCTTGACAACATCTTCTAACTTTTAGAATTTTTACTTATGTACCAGCATAAGTTTTTATGTTCATACTTACCTATTGGTTTGATCAATCATGGATCAACTAAATATTTGATATTATGAAAAATTAATCCACTTGTTTCTATTGTTGATGGCACTGTGTGATTCTAATATTACTTCATTGATGCCTGTAATTGCATTTAACAGAAAAATTGTCTTCTCACTTAGAAAATATACAATATATCTTAACTAAATTTCTAGTTTATATGGACCTGTGTTTTTTTTTTCAGCGGTAACATTTGAAGTGCACAAAGCTGTAAAAACTGGACTACTGGAAGCTGAGCTTGGAGATCTCAGTGATGAAAACCAGTACCTTCAGGTCAGTATTTTGACTGCACTTAAATATGCAGATTTATTATAAACTACGAGTTTATGAAGCTGAATTTGCATTTTTTCAGATGACATTTTTCTAATACGAGTGACATGATCTTCTAATGAACTTGCTTATTTCATTACTTTTATCCACATCTTCTACTCTCCTTCAGTTCCTAAATAGCTATTAAATTTTTAGGTGAAATGATGTTTATTGAAATGATGATTAAGAAGTGAAATGATGTTTATGATGATTAAGAAGTGAAATGATGTTTATATATTTTATTTGAGATGATATGCAAACATTCAGCTTATTCAGATAGCACCTGATGCATCTACATGTCCCTGCACATGTGTAGTTATACTCCTAAAGTGTACCAAGTTTGTGACATTAATGGATTTCATTAACTTGTTCTCAGGTCAATGTAGAGGGTTTGGATGTCTTCGGTCAAGCTCCCATCAAGAAAAGTCAGGAATGTGTATGTCCCAACTGTAGCAGAAGTCTTGCAGCTAGCAGGTGTGTGTGTTCGTATTGTTTTGTAAGAAAATGTTACTGTTTTGAAAACCTGTGCTGCAAATTCTGTGTCTACTAACTGTTAACAAACATTCAATTTGTGTGGAGTTTTAGCTTGTGTACTAGAGTTGCAAAATTAAGATCATTTCTTGTCTAATGATGAGTTTTCAGCTGCTATAACAACAGCCATGCTGATGCCTGTGCACAGAGCTACATAAACTACATAGCATTGCACAGAGCTACATAAACTACATAGGATTGCACAGAGCTACATAAACTACATAGCATTGCACAGAGCTACATAAACGGCATAGCATTGCACAGAGCTGCATAAACTACATAGCATTGCACAGGGCTACATAAACGGCATAGCATTGCACAGAGCTACATNGTGTTCCATCATGGGCTGCAAGAAATTTTGCAACATTGCAGCATAGCGATCGGAATTCACTGTTACGGTTACTCCCTCCTCTGAGAACGACTCCAACAGTGTGTTGCAGCTAACGGCCCCCATCTTCCAGATATTGTTTTCAAAACATAAGTATTCTAAATGGTATGTTATTCTAACTTCTAGGAAAATAGACTTTCTGTTTGATGCACCTCCATTACTCTTTTATTTTACCTCAAAACTGCTCAATCGGTTCTGCTCCACCCTGTATATTGAGAGGTTGAGATTGTATTGACCTTTTAGGAAATTAGAAAGATTTTCCTCCCTAATACGAGTATTCTAATTAAAATATTTAATTTCAATCTTCAAATACGTGAATTTAAAACTAGAAACGAAACGATTACAAATATAAGACTATATATAAAATAATTAAATGCAGCGAATGGATATAAAATATTTTAATTGTGCACATGTTTATTTCAAACAGTGTTAGATTTTCGCATAACTTAAGCCTCGTTTCAAGTCGTATGAGGTTTGTTTGGTTATCGTTCAGTTTATGTTTAGTATTGGTTTATTGGTCTTAACTAAATGGGAACAGTGCAGTCTGTCACTCAGTCACTACTAGTTGGTATGTATAGTGGGTAGAGTCTGGTAGATTTATAGGACATAAAACTAGTAGATCTATTGATAGCGCTGTGCACTGTGCTATCAGCTACCTATCTCAGTATCTGTTGTGTGACTCTTCAATGTTTAGAAGATCTGCATTCCTCAAGTGTTTTTGTATATTGAAGACAGTTATATGGTCAATATTTAGCTCGATCATTACCTTGCTCCATACAAATTTTACAAAGCTAATGAATAGATTTATCAATAATTGTTTACCCAAAAATCCCTAAGTGGTAAACACCACCTTGGCCTGTTGGCCACTATTGAAGGCAATAGGTGCCTTTTTTAGCCATCCATTATGAACCATATACTGTTATTGTTAGTAGGCTAATTGCAACATAAAAAATAACACTTCGAAAAGACGAAAAAGCTGAAAAAATCAAAAAAATTAAATAAATAAAAAAATCATGAAAAAATAAAAAAAATAATTGATTTTTTATTTTTTTGATTTAAAAAAAAAATCAAAAAAATCACCAGCCCTGCTGCAGTGAGTGACAGAGAGCGCATTTTCTCAATATCGACAAAAACATGAAGTCACAGACAGACAGACAGATGAACGGACATGACAAACACAATAGCGCATTTTCAATAAATCAGGAAATGCTCTAAAATGATCCTTCAGTTTCACCCTGCCCCCTAATTAAGCCAAATCATTAATGTCCACATTAATGATTAATGTCCATTAAATAATGGACACATAATGTCCATTAAATTCCTAATTAAAATAATAATATTGCCAATTACTTAATTTGTTTATCAGGTTCGCCCCTCACCTCGAGAAGTGTATGGGTATGGGCAGGAACTCATCACACATCCTTCACATCCTTCACATACATCGCATACTTCACTCCCTCCACATCAAGGATGAGGGACATCGTCCACATACATACATCCTTCACATCCTTCACATACATCCTTCACATACGTACATCCTTCACATACATCCTTCACATACGTACATCCTTCACATACAAATCTCACCCGTCTTCCCCCGCAGGTTCGCCCCTCACCTCGAGAAGTGTATGGGCATGGGCAGGAACTCATCACGCATCGCAAGCCGACGTATCCAGAACACGTCACGTGACGCTGGGGGATATGTGTGCTTAATGTGGGCATTTATATCTGCTTCACTGTTATATGTGTGCTTAATGTGGGCATTTATATCTGCTTCACTGTTATATGTGTGCCTCTTAAATCCATTCATAATTTAAAAAACGATCCATTGCTGAATTATTATTAAAAATTGTTGTTATTAAAGTAATTTGAATTGTGTTGAATTGCTGAATAATTAAAAAAACAGATCCAACCGATCCATGGAAATTCAAAAACTGATCCATTGTTCCAAACGAGTTCCTTTTGCAATTTATGCAACTAAAAACAAGTTTATTGTTATTTTTTTCTCGTAAAATTGAAATTTTTACATTTTGTGCACCTTTCACAGTAAAGGGTTAACAGGATAATGCATCATCACCAGTTATACAAGCAGCCTGTGTGAACTTTTTCAGAAGTGTTTCGTTAATGTCTTTGAATTTTTGTCAATAATAGAGTTTATAAGAATTAATGATGGCTTTGCAAGGCGAATCCTTTCATAATTCAAATTAACTTCTATGTTTGCATCAAAACTGTGAAAAAAAAATCTTGAAATGGGAGTTTGTTTCTTGCTATCTTTTGTGTTTTCTTTCAATAAATTCTGATGCAGCAACATGCAGAATTGTTTCTGCTATTTTTGATGACTTAATTCCTTAAATTTTTAAGTCGTGAATTTTATCCATATTTTCTCTCATGAAAATTTCTTTACAAAAGAATCCCCTACACACAAACACCTTTGTTCAACATTATTTTACAATGCACTCTGTTACAAATCCTTTTATTCACAACTCTTTTAAATGCTCTCTGTTAAGAAACCTTCTTCTTACAACTGTAAAACAGCATTCTTTTACAAAACCTTCTACTTCTAGCTCCTATAAACAGTGTTTTCTGATAAAAAGCCTTGTAAATCTTTTACAGACAACTTTACTCACTTAATGCCCTGTAACAGTTATTGAAAATCTCTTCTAAGATCTTCTTCCCTTTGCGTTTTACTGCTGGTTTATCCCACATAAGATATTCAAAATGAACCCTAAATTCATGTTGGTCCTCATCGTGGAGGCAAACTAGTTTTTGTTGCCATTCCTTTTGACTGAAAGGTCCCTCTAAACGAATTTACATCCATAAAAACATAAAATATTTTCTGAACTAGATACAATAGAAGTGAACTAGATACAATGGAAATGAATTGATTCTAAAGAATCCCTTGTTAGCCACTATGTTCCTCATCATCAAATTAATATCTCTACAATGAAATTAGTCAGAATTGAACATAGGAATATGATTCATAATACACATAGAGATATTAATACAGTATGCAGCCCCGCAGGCCAAGGCAGCAGCAGAAGGCGTGTCGTGGATCGTCATCAGCTAAGAAAATTTTTGTACTAGATCAGGCCAATAGAAATGAACTGAGACTAAAGAATCCTTTTTCTAGCCACTAAGTTCCTTATCATTAACTCATTATTCGGCCCCGCAGGCGAAGGCAGCAGCAGAAGGCGTGTCGTGGAGCGTCATCAGCGGCGGCAGCGACTCCGAGAAGCGCGCGGTGCTGAGCTCCATCTGTGGTGTGGTGAGCGAACACACCAGGAAGATGTGTACGCGCTCCATGAAGTGTCCCCAACACACCACCTTCCAGCGCAGGGCTGTCAGAGAACAGGTGCAGTGTCCCTAGTACACAGGTGAAGTGTCCCCAGCACACAGGTGAAGTGTCCCCAGCACACAGGTGAAATGTCCCTAGTACACTGGTGAAGTGTCCCCAGTACACAGGTGAAATGTCCCTAGTACACTGGTGAAGTGTCCCCAGCACACAGGTGAAGTGTCCCCAGCACACAGGTGAAGTGTCCCTAGTACATGGGTGAAGTGTCCCCAGCACACAGGTGAAGTGTCCCTAGCACACAGGTGAAGTGNCCCAGTACACAGGTGAAGTGTCCCCAGTACACAGGTGAAGTGTCCCCAGTACACAGGTGAAGTGTCCCCAGTACACAGGTGAAGTGTCCCCAGTACACAGGTGAAGTGTCCCCAGTACACAGGTGAAGTGTCCCCAGTACACAGGTGAAGTGTCCCTAGTACACAGGAGGTGTTGTTTGTTGTTTTATGTGTGTGTATTGATATTAATCGCTTCTTTTTAGCCCTGAATTTTCAAAGAATCATTTTCAAGCAAAACTTGGTTGAATGTTTTCTTATGAATGTCTTTTGCAATAGCCCCAATTTTCTAGACCACGATGTACCATTTTGCTCATGTGTCTGCGGCTCATTTGTGGTTCTTCGGATTCGTTTTTATTATCACGAGATTATCGTTTTGATTATCTTGTCTCTGTGGCTGTTTATTAATGGAAAGAGCGCATGAATCTACAGAAAGTCTCGAAATGAAGCTACATTTAATTCACATGAAAACTTGTTGAAAGAGTGGCTGCTCTGTTACTTGCTTATATTTATGGGCATGAATAGAGCAGGGACTAAAACTTTTATTCAGGTCTTCTCCAGGCTGTATGTTGTGCACGTTTTATGCTATGCTTTATTGCTGGAACAACGAGAAATGCAAAATAATAGCATATGCCAATTTAATTCACTATTATTTATCAAGCTCGTCTTAGAGATCAGCTCCGCTATCACTCGTGAGCGGACAGCAATAGAAACAAAGAAATTAGTCAGTTGAATGTAAACACTGAATTGACCAAACATATAACAAAGTTTAGTTTAAAAGTGAAATTTTGCAGACAAACATGCCCATTAACGATTTGCATCCGACATGAGATGGATGCATTATCTACTTAAAATATATATTTTTTTTTCTCAAAGAGATTCTTAAATTATCTATCGCGAGATCAGTAAGTGAAGTTAAAACCATATCAAAAGCACTTTAACCACTGGTGGCCCAGGGGTTTAAGTTCAGAGTACCAAGATTGGAGCAGTGAGTTGCGAGTTCGAGACCGCAATAATCTGTGATTGTTCTGCGATGTTAAGAATCGGCGACAGGCCTACGGCCTACTAAACGCTGAAACCGTTATTATGATTATTATCATTATCAAAAGCATGGCCGAATAGATTGCAAAGACATTTGCATGAGGTAGATACGCGAGTAGGTTACTACTGCGATAACTCCTGCCGCGACGCTTAGCCTGCAATCTATTATGGGAATTACGTGACGTCATGGGAATTACGTGACGTCATGGGAATTACGTGACGTCATTCCGATGTATGCTGATGATCCCTGTGCAGAACTTCTTTCTTGTACTAGAGAAAATTTTTATTCCTAAATTCTTGAATTCCTACAGTCTTTAATTCTTGTACTAGAGAAAATCTAAGACAAAAAAGTTGATTCATGCCCTGAAGATTAGGTTAAATTCATGCCCTTCAGTCAATGCGCTACCGTTATGAGTTTAATTTTTATGAGTTGTAAGCAGTTTAAAATGATGTCATATCGATTATATATTGCCTGACGTGTTATTAAATTGAGTTATTATTTCATATACTATAGTAATATTTTTCTCTGATTGCAAGGGAACAATGATCAGCATTGAAAAAATTGCCGTCTTGTCTGTAGAGAGCAAAGTCTCATGAGTTTTCAATTTTATTTTATTTTCCCCTCTAACTTTTGGACTGCAGAACGCGGTAAGCTCACTCACATGACTATTGTGAGTGGGGTGAATGTAGCGTGTGTGTGACAGCATGACTCATATTACTCACGAGTGACTCAGCCCTCACTTCCCTCAGTTGTGTTGCCAGACTCATGTTACTCACGAGTAACTCAGCCCTCACTTCCCTCAGTTGTGTTGCAAAGGTCTTGTGTATTCTGGTTGAATTTGGTCCTTTTTTTCGTTCCCACGAACTTCTCTCAGCCATTTTATTCATTCAAAAAATCTGTTAGATGCAAAGAGACCATCACAGAATTGTTCTTTTGGCTTCTAAGCTTAAAAAAGTTACACATTTTCTATGCACTGCCTGCGCATTTATTTACACATACCGTAATAATAATAATATTGAGAAATAAAAAATGCATAATTTTCATTCTGAAAATTTTCAATTATGCTGATTTTTAATTCTGCATATTTTCAATTTCAGTGCATTTCTCTTTTGTTAAATCTGATTGATATTTTTTGTAATAGTTCGATATCTCGGTGCACGTGTAGGAAAGACTTAATTTCAATTAGTTGATTATTTAATGAACACTTTTACATTGGGTTATTAACATTTTACGAAGCAGTAGTGTTACAGGAAAGGTTACAATTTTTAAGAGTTTACTTTTTAACTTCTGGTGATGTAACCCAGTTTACTTACACTTACATTACCAGTACGTCACTGTAACACAAATCACACATACGTGTGTAACTCATCACTGTATATAACACGTCACTATAACAAATCACGTATAAAATAAACGTCACTATAACAAATCACGTATAAAATAAACGTCACTATAACAAATAACGTATATATAACACGTCACTATAACAAATCACGTATAAATAACAGGTCACTATAACAAATCACGTATAAAATAACACGTCACTATAACAAATAACGTATATATAACACGTCACTATAACAAGTCACGTATATATAACACGTCACTGTAACAAGTCACGTACATATAACACGTCACTATAACAACTCGCGTATATATAACACGTCACTATAACAAATCACGTATAAATAACACGTCACTATAACAAATCACTTATATATAACACGTCACTATAATAAGTCACGTATATATAACACGTCACTATAATAAGTCACGTATATATAACACTTCACTATAACATGTCACGTATATATAACATGTCACATACATATATGATATATATATAACACGTCACTATAGCACGTCACATACATATATGATGTATATAACACGTCACTATAACACGTCACAAACATAAATGATATATATAACACGTCACTATAACACGTCACATACATATATGATGTATATAACACGTCACATACATATATGATGTATATAACACGTCACTATAACACGTCACATACATATATGATATATATAACACGTCACTGTAACAAGTCACGTATATACTGTATAACACGTCACGCTCGTCACAGCTGCTGGGCGCGTCTGACGGCGCAGGCATCACAGAGGACGACAGCGTCTCCAGCAGCACCGCGGCCGCCCCTGACGAGGCGCAGGTCAGACAACATTATCCTTATCTTATGGTCCTTATCATGTTATCCTTAACTTATGGTACTGGCATGTTATCATTAACGTATGGTCCTGGCATGTTATCATTAACTTATGGTCCTTATCATGTTATCCTTAACTTATGGTCCTTATCATGTTATCCTTATCTCTTGGTCCTTATCATGTTATCATTAACTTATGGCACTGGCATGTAATACTTACCTTCTGGTCTTCATCATGTAATAATTACTTTTTGGTTCTCATCATGTGATCCTTAACTTATTGTCTTTGTCATGTAATACCTACTTTTTGGTCTATCATGTAATATTTACTTTTGATCCTTATCATATAATCCTTACCTTTTCGTTATTATCGTATAATACCTACCTTTACTTTATATGAATGTTACCCCTCAATTACCACCATAAAGTTATTCAATTAAACAAAGAAAGGGTTAATTAAATTAAACACCCAAAAATAGATTATATTTTGTGAAGCACTTCAGTATGCCAGTGGAAATATCGAGTCTCTGCCGCCCCTGCAGGAGGCTGACTTTTATTTTATATTATATTTATTATATATTATTATTTATATTATATTTATTATATATTATTATATTATTATTTATATTATATTATTTTATTTCTGCCGCCCCTGCAGGAGGCTGACGGCGCTGACGAAGGAGGCGCTGCTGGGGGACCGTCCACGGCCCACAGCGGCGGTGTGGCTGCTTCAGGTGCCGTATTTACCTTCTATTTAATTACTGAGTTACGATAAATAATCAGTTAATTGAATATTATTAATTTAGTCAGTTTTATTCTGGATAATTAATAGCAAGGCTACTAATTATTAATTAAATTAATAATAATTAGGCTACTAATTATTACTAATTTGTAGCAAGACTACTAATTATCCTAATAATGCATCTATCATATTGTCATTGTACAGTCGCTGTGTTCTTACATTTAATTAGCCTACATTGTTCATTTAGATCACAATGTTCATCGAATATATTCTTCGCAAAGAAAACGTGACTCCACATGATCGAGAATATAGTGACTTTGCGGCCATAACTAGCAGCTATCAAGAGGCTTCAATAATCACTTCCTTAATCATCAAAAGCACCATGAAACCTTGCATTGTCGTTCATCTTGTTGTTATAGAATCTAAATGTCGGCACTGAAGACATAGGCCCATGGCCTGTTGCCGATTCTTGTTCATAGAATAAAATAGAATAGAATAGAAGTGTCGGCATTGAAGACATAGGCCCATGGCCTGTTGCCGATTCTTGCACTTTTCGTGACTTGATTCACAAGGGATCCGGCCTTTGGAACCCGATCTTTCCATAACTGACGATTGATTGAGATAGCTGCTGGACTTATTGCCTGCTCCGTAATTTGCTAGGCATTTCAAGACTGAACATATGTGTACATGTTCAGAGGTGATCTAAACACCGGTCTTTTGAGCAGAATCTTTTCAAAATTGACGTTGGTTTGAGATAGCTAGTGATATCTCTATATTCTAAAGTACTGATATTCGCTGCTTTCAAGACAGCTGTTCCACTGTTGTCTTAATTATTTTTCTAGGATTTTTTTTGCCGATATGCTGGCCGTTGAAGGCCTTGCTCTCTTCTATTTTGTCTTTCAGCATCGCATTAGCGCGTCCAATATAAAACTGTTGATTCAATTGAATTGCTTTCCGAGTGTCAGCTTGACCATTTATGTTCAACAAGATAGTTTTCAATGAGTAAATATTAGCAAACTTTTAGCATACGGTACTTTGAAAAATATCTCTAAAATCTAGGTTGTGATTCTTTGGTCATAATTAATTTGTTTACATATACTTATAGAACCTTTGAACGGTCAAGTTTGTGTTTTTATATGGCAACATTTTTTTATATACGTAATTTAAAGAAATTCTATTTAAACACTTCGTTTTTTTGTCGTAAATGTTTTTCATGTATTATTTAAAGAATATCTTTGAACGCTCAGGTTAGTGAATTTTTACCAGGTATTTTTCAGTTTTGTCATTCAACAATCATTTTTTTATAACGTATAATTTAAAGAATCTGTTGAAACGCCCAGGTTTATGAATGAATAATTTAATTTGTTATGAATAATTTAAAGAATATGTTGTAACACTCAGGTTCATGATTTTTGTCATCATTAATATTTTTTCAGCTTTATCATACAATCATTATTTTTTATTAAGTATAATTTAAATAATGTGTTGGAACACTCAGGTTCGTATTTTTTGGCATCACTAATATTTTTTCAGGTTTATCATACAACAATCATTATTTTTTATAAGGTATAATTTAAAGAATGTGTTGTAACGCCCAGGTTCATGGGACCAGGACCTGCTGCACAGCTCGACCACCTCCCCAGCAGACAGCACCTCGACCGTCCTCTCGTCGCACTCGACCAACTCCTCGAACCGCTCCGCCTCTCTGCCACCCAGCGGCGACTGCCACTCTAGCAACGGCAGCGTCTCCAATGGCAGCGCTGCCACTACTAGTGGCAATGGTGGCAGTAATAGTCAGAGCATCACTCACAGTGGCACAAATACCATTAGTAGCAGTTCATCTACTACAGAAGTGACGGTTACTGAAAGTCTCCTTCAGAGTAATCGGTATCAAAGTGGTAGCGGCGGTGGTGGTAAAAGTGGTGTCAAAACTCACAGCAGCAACAGCAATAATAGCAGAAATGCAGCAATTAATATCGTCAGCAGCAACAAATCTGGCCACAGTGATAGAAAGAGCAGTAGCAGCAATAATAGTAAGAAAAAAAGTAAAGCAAGCAGTGTACACGGCAGGAGTTCTGAGAAGTGAAGATTCCTCTTTTTAGGTTCTTTGATCGATTCAACTTTGAAGCGTATTGCATTTATGTCCTTTACTCAGGTCATTCATACATGAACATAACTAATCCATTAGCTTAACAATATATGATTGGTGCTGAGTCATGTCTAAATTTCTACTTTACTAACGTAGTTTGGTGTCGCTCTTATGCAAACAAACATGTAATCGTTTACAATTCCTCCTCTGAAAAATCAACGGATGTGCATTTCTTGGTCAACTCGTGCGCTTCTAAAAAATATTAATATTCCGTATGTTGTTGGCTGATTACTGTTGCGTAGTTTTGTTAAAGTTTTCCCCTGTGCTCTACACTTCTTGTCTTCACGGGCGATCAAGTTACCGTATGTAAACTTGCCTTGAAATCTTTCAGGCAATCACATATTAGCTGCGACTCTTGCCACTATTAGGATTCTGTACAAGTTCTTATTGAAGTAAAATAGTGACTGATAATATCTTGTAAAAATAGGTGACGTGTAAGCTGGTCCATATTGCTTTGGATCTATAGGACAGCTTCTCGAGACCTACGATTCGTAAGGCTGTGATGAGGTTCCATGGTAACCTCGTACGAATATTAACCAACTAAATTACTTGCTCCAGTTACGCTGTAAGTGAGAGCATTAATTTGATGATAGAGTTATGTCAGACTCGTTAACTCTCGGACATCATTTCGATTTAACATTGAAACTTTGTCATCTCACGTTCGTGTAAATAGGATAAATTCAATGTAATTACATCTTCAAATTATTCACAATGCAGTCAGTAAAAATGTAGGTATTGGCAAAGGTTACTTTTCACAGATTTAATTAAGGAAGATGAACGTCACTTGCAACAAGGCGACTTATCACTACAATCATAAAAGAATAGAATTTCAGGCCCCTTAATACTATGGTTAATGTCAACTGTCAAGATCTTGATTTTCATGTATCCGTAATAAATTTTCTACAAGCAAATATACTATCAAAGATTACAGTAATTCCTCCCGTCGTTTTATTATTTTAGAAGCTGCCAAAATAAGCACTCTACAGTAATGCCCGATCACTCTCCCTCAAAACGTTGAGGTAGGCGTGAAAAAAAGTTCTACTTGTAATTCAGCATTTAGGTTAAGAAAATTATCATAAATATTCATAAAGGAGCAACAGATTTTGATATTTAATGTGCACTTGATTGTATCTGGAATAACTTTGTGTTATTGATAAAGCTTATACATACACTAGTGAGTACTCAACAGCATTTCGATTGGAAGGTTATCTTATAGCCTACTTACTCTGACATAGAGATTCAATGATCTATTGCAATGATCTTAATTCTAGGTAAATTAACTAGTCTGTGTGACTTCTAGCAGATACAGAAATGTGAAGGTTGCTTCCCGGATTGAGCATTGAGAATATCCACAGAACCAATGAGAAATAAAGCGCTCGATGTTGAGTATGTAAGAACAATAGCATACTCGGCAATATGAGGTCTAAATTGCATAAATGTATATACCTGGCAGGGCGCATTTACAAAGGCTATCACTATAGCATGTTGAACTACGAGAATAATGTTGCCTACAAAATATTATTTCCATGATGCTATTCTTGAAAAATATTTAATTTCCTGAGAGCTTCTAAATCTTTCGAGGCTCGTTATTGGAACGTTGACAGTGGATTATGTGCGTTCAAGTTATTTGATGGGACAGTCACAATATGCGAAACCCAAGCAAGACTTGCAAAATATTTTCGGTTGTACGATCCTAATCGAAATAAAATATAGTACATTAGGTACATATAGGAAAATAGAGTCCAAGTGCATTCGCGTGCCTGAAGAAAACAAAATTCAAAAGTTGACACCCGACTTAAGTAAAGAGCGCTCGGGAATGAGATGAGGAAGAGTAGCTAACAAACAATTACTCTGATATCTGCATTTGTGATAAAAACAGGGGTTTGTATGTGTGAAGTAAGATGGGATGTTAGAATTCATCGTGTCTGTTGAGAGCCTCGCCGAAGTCTGTAACTTGAGAGCCGACGAAGACGTCGTATTTGTCCAATATTTCCTGCTTGGTGAGCTGCCCGTCCGCATCGCTGTCGGCCTCGCCTATGAGGTGCTTAGATTCTGCGTTCGCGTGGTCGTAGTCGGGGGGAATGATCCAGTCCCTGACCTGCAACACATACATACGACCTGTAATATTGGGTGGGTCATTACACGACCTGTAGTATTGGGTGGGTCATACACACGACCTGTAGTACGGTAGGTGGGTCATTACACGACCTGTAATACAGTGGGTCATACACACGACCTGTAATACAGTGGGTGAGTCATACACACGACCTGTAGTACAGTAGGTGGGTCATTACACGACCTGTAATACACAGGGTTCGTACTGGCCATGGAAAACCTGGCAAGTCATGGAATTTGATTTTCATTTTCCAGGCCTGGGAAGTTATTGAATTTTATTTCAGGTTATGGAAAGTCATGGAATTTGCAAATAAAAGAAGAAAAGTTTTTCTGGGCTGCGTGTGTTTACTGTTCGTGCAGTCTCTTGTTTCCTGCGTTCTGATTGGTTCTCTAATCATGTGACCGCCGGTCATGTGATTTGAGTACCAATCACGAGAGCTCGGTCAGCGAGCTCAGTTGCATTGGATAACTTTTTAATCTGCAGTGGCAGCGTTCCATCTTCAGCGTGAAATTACTACATCACCATGTCTGGAAAGTGTAAATTTTTTGACGTTGGGTTAAGAATAGAAGCTTGTCGTGACTGGCTTGCTCGCCATCCAAAGCATGAAGGTATGGCGATATGTACATTGTGCTCGAAAGACTTCGATGTGTCAAATATGGGGGAAGCAGCTTTGAAGAGCCACACCAAAGGCAACAAACACACCAAGTTAGCTAAGCAACACAGTGAAGAGAAAAGCAAAGCGCAGTCACGCATTTCCGATTAGTGGTCCTCTGTGTCTGCCTGCTCTATGCATTTACACGTTTGCTATTTATCAACTGTAGGAGATGATAGAATATGCCCGGTTAGTCTTTCAGTCATGCTAAATCTGTCGTATACGAAGTCTATTCCTGAGTTAGCGTAAAAATGTCTTCCACTACATATTCAAATTGAAACTGACGAGTCTTGGAAAATTATATTGATGGTCATGGAGAGTCATGGAAAATTCATGGAATTATTTTTCTAAATACCGGTACGAATCCTGAATACAGTGGGTGGGTCATACACACGACCTGTAATACAGTGGGTGGGTCGTACACACGACCTGTAATACAGAGGGTGGGTCATACACACGACCTGTAATACAGAGGGTGGGTCATACACACGACCTGTAATACAGTGGGTGGGTCATACACACGACCTGTAATACAGAGGGTGGGTCATACACACGACCTGTAATACAGAGGGTGGGTCGTACACACGACCTGTAATACAGAGGGTGGGTCATACACACGACCTGTAATACACGGGGCCATTACACGACCTGTAATACACGGGGCCATTACACGACCTGCTAGAACAAGAAGAGTTAGGTATTGTGCGATTATTCTTAATTCCTGATAATTTTGATATATGGCGATTTTTTTGCAAGAATTGAAATTCAACTGAAGGGCTAATTGCTGGTAACTTTGTCATTTAAATAAGTTTCTGATGAAATTTAAAATTGTAAAAGAGTTCATTTGTACATTAATAGCTCCAAATCACCCACAATAAAGCCAAGTACCCACCTAATATATTTGTGTTTGAGAAACTATTTTTACTTAGTTACATCCACATAAAACAAGTGGTCTCACAAACGGTGGTCTCTTAACACGTGCAAATACCTGAAAACCTTCTTATCAATAATAAACTAACCAACAACGTCACAACAAGAATATAGAGAAGAGTCTATATGTCTGCTACACATCAGACCAGACCTCATCTTTATCCATGGCTCCGTCCTTGTTCTTGTCACGGTACTGAGCGAACTGCTCCCGCTCGTTGTTCACCCAGCCAGGCTCTGTCTCGTCCTCCGCCCCTTTGTACATGTCGCCTGCAACGCGGTGAAATATATCAACATTCCTACCATTACACAGCACATTGTGCTACCTTGTACATGTCACCTGCAACCCGGTGAAATATATCAACATTCCTACCATTACACAGCACATTGTGCTACCTTGTACACGTCGCCTGCAACCCGGTGAAATATATCAACATTCCTACCATTACACAGCACATCAAACTTATAGCTTTACTAAAATTAAAAATTTTCCCGCCTATCAATACATAGTATTATGATTATTTCTGACAATATTCTTTTGAAATGCGGAATATCAAACATTAATTTTGAATATCGATAGATAAATTTAATCATTTAGAAAAACTCTGATCAAATTTAAACACAAACCAATAAACATTCTATTACCTTCAGGACGATAAATCCAACATGCATTTGAGAGTAACCAATATCCTTGTGCATGAAGATTAGGATACATCTTGAGAGGCCTTGAGTCGCTAAACTAACCAATATATTCATGCATGGAGATCAAGATATGTCGCGAGCGACTAGGACTAACCAATGTACTCCTCCATGGAGATCATGCCATCTTTATCCTTGTCAATGTCCTCCATGGTCTCAACAATAACAATGTCCTTCATATGCTGCGACTCTTCTGGATGCAGGAAGTCCGTGAACTCTTCAAAGCTGAGCTCGCCGTCACCATTTGTGTCCGCGAGCTTCCAGCGGCGTTCGTCACGTGACAACATCTGCAGGTACGACTCGCCTTCGTCGTCCGTCTTCAGTTCGTCTTCTGACAATCCTGAGAAGTAAAAAAACGCCATACTACAAAACATAACAAACCTGTCATCCAATCACTGACAGCTTTTCAAGCTAAGCTCATCAATCACACATGTGAAATTGGCTGCTACGTCTAATCTCGCGTGGTTTAGTAGCACAGTTCCAATAATTCATTTTGAAGCTTTTGTGTACTGACGATAACTTTAGTTACTGGGTGAGATATGGATAGCATTGACAATATTTGATTTATCTGTAGACAAGAGCTTAAATGTATTCATGGGCCTAGTATCTCAATTGATACTTGTAACTATATATAAGAATTTATTCCTTTACTGTTTGCATATAAAGCCTTGGGGAAACTCGTGTTAAGATATGATTCACAGGACCAAGTAAACAGTAGATAATCAGCATTATTAAAGTTAATACAGCTAAAATATTATCAATAACGCGCGAACTACACAAACTCATCTCAAAAAGCCTTACTGATGAGAGTACAAGGACAAATGCAACAACAATGAACCCCAGGTCTTTAGGATATGGAGCTTTACATTGGAATACAAACTTCAATCCATTTATTAATTAATTCATAAATTAAGTAGAATTTATAAGTTATTCTACTTATCATTACACAAAGTTAAAATTTTCTCACCATCCATGAAGCCATAAACCAGAGCCTTGTACTCGTCCCAGTTGAGGTTGGGTTTTCCCTTGGGGTTGTGAGCGCTCCACTGGCGTCGCGCGTCGTCGGTGATGTAGCGCTTCTGTGTGTACTCGATCCACTGCTTCAGCTCCAGCTGCGTCACTTGACCATCGTTGTCGCTGTCAATCTTGTCCACTAATAAACTGTAATAAAGGTACAGCTCAGTCCCTGACAGAGAAATCTTACTTGTGGCTCAATCTCTGACTTGAATAATTTATTTACAGCTCAATCTTTAGTGTTCCGGACCGGTCTTACTTACAGCTCACTCCCTGATGTAGAAAAAATATCTGACAGAGAAATCATAATTGTTAGAGAAATCAAGTGTACTAAATCCCCGAACAACACGCGCAAGTGTTCTGAATTATAAAGCTGCTAGTGTTCAAAACTCCATGATTGAATATTCATCCAGAATACTTCAGTTTGAGAGGATTGAAATGTCTTTGCATTGCATAAGTGTAATTAACTTCAAATTACAAAAACCTATGCACAAAATAAACATTTTTCAAAACTAAAGCATGGAAAATTCTAGTAAGTTTTGTACTAACCACCAAATAAATGCACATATTTTACTGGCTCAATTCTATAAATTAATGCCTTTGGTTATGTCTCACATTGAAATGGGAATGTTCCTGGCCCACTTACTTGCCCCAGTCATGCATACAAATTTTGTGGCTTGTTTAAACGTTTTAGATTTATTTGAATTTCAACTTTAGTCAATGCACTTGCAATTCCTCTATGTCCACCAATTTAGCATACCCCACACATTGATAAGCACAACTGCAAAATATTCAAGTTATCCCAATAAAAATATTGATAGCTTAGAAGAGTTGAAGAAATAAAGCTCACCTGAGCCTGCGTTTACTCTCCTCTGGAGGTAACTGATCATATATATCAGCCTCGTCTTCACCAAGGAAGGCTTCATGGTCATAGTCTGGATTGTGTTCTTCATTCAAGAAATGCTCCTCATCACTCAGCTCCTGGAATAAAAAAAAAACTTGGTTAAGGAATTGTCAATAGAAAAATCAGTTTGCCTCATTTATTTTATAGCTATTATCTGGCATATCAGTTATGAAATGATGAATTCCTGATTGATATCTGACAAGGCCTATGAATAAACTTCAGGTAGATGGTAATCTTTTGAGAATTTCAGATGATTTAAAAAAAAATTATAAATATAATCTCAGCATTGTGGTTGTCACTTCTATCCTTATGATTGACTTGGCACAATTCCTGATATTTTGATCAATGGTTCATGTAGATAAAGATGGAACGTTGTTGTACTTCAAATCAGGATTAAAGTGTTACCCAGTTGGATAATGCAATGCACAATTGTTAGGAATTATTTTTCAATAGGAATTATTTCCAACACAATCAGTTTTCACTAGGAATTATTTCAATCAGAGATGTCTGAAAGTTAACAGAAAAAATTTCTCACTTTTAGTATTGGAAATGAGTCATATATCAGTTAAATATGATGTGCAGACATGCATTGTTTGACCTATACATGGGGACCAAAAGCCCAGTTCAACAGCACAAATTGAGACTATGAAAATGTAGTGTGTGCAAGATGTTAGGGACCTAGAGCCTCTTCCGAGACATAAAACTTCTCCAGAAGGAACACTACAATTCATGAAATTGCCCACAGGGAGAATCTTTCCAACTTTGAACATGTACATCTATAAATTAAGAACGGACTAGTGACTTTTGAATAATCATTCTCCATACTCTGAAGACTAACTTTGCACTTATGAGCAGCCAGTCTTGAGTGATATCAAAGACAGAAATCCACTTACATTGTGCTTTACTCTCGTTTTTTTGTCATCATCTGCTGGTTTTGTTGCAACCACAGCAACAAGCAGCAGTAAAATACATGATGTTTTTAAACCAGCCATCTGAAAAAAACATAGCAGATATATTATCACAACCACTATATACATAACAAATTAACAATGACATTATAATTAAGATTAAAACTAAGGTCTTAATCAAGGTTTTGATTTCCCTACTGACAATGCCACTAATGTTGCCATAGCACTTGTGTTACCGACATACAAAATAATACAATCTATTTGTAATTAAATCAGAGTCACAAGTCTTCAGCTTTCTAGTGCAATATAAAAAGCTTCTCAGCAGCCAGTTCAGTGGTGCCTGAGTATGGCAAGTGTCATTGATGGTAGATTTGTCTATTCCAAGGTTGAAGTTTATTCAACCTATCATAACTGACTGGACTTCTTGGTGCCAAGTGGCAGAGCAGACTTTTTAGACTCTTCCTCAATCTCAAGTTCCTTTTTTTAAGTCCTATAATAAGTTAGCTGTTAGTATAAGTAGACCAGTAAAGTACCACAACCACTGATACTAGCATTATCATACACATAGTGACAAACCAGAATTTTTTTAGAATCGGTTCATTTTCTATTTCCTCAAGATTCTAACCAATATCTCAAGTATGATAATGCTGGTATCCATACTTAACTGGTCTACTTATAGGACTCAAAAATGAACTTGAGACAGAATCTAAAAAAACTCTCTGCTTTGCCACTATGAATTCATACATAAGAAATTTGCTTTAAATCTTAGGTAAATTGAATGGGGAAATTATAAATGAATGATTCTAAAAATCTGTGGTTTGTCACTATGGCCATAAATGTATCCAAGTCCAAAGTCAAAAGATTAAAAGAAATCATAGAAATGTACAACATACCAACAGTGAATGTTCTACCTAATCTATGTCAATCTACATCCTAGTGACTGTGATCCTACAATATACATTGCAGTAATCATAAACTGTATGATACACTGCAAAGAATCTGTCACTCTTTGAGAGAAGAAAATCCTGTGTTTAATCCTTTTCTTTACCTATAACAAAATATTCCTTTATAAAAATAAAAACATTGTTTACCTAGTAAATTTCAAAATCTTAAAGCTGTATAATGACTAAATAAAGATTAGGTACTGTATTATACTAATTTCTCATTTTACAATTAACCCCAAAATTGCAAGGTTCATTCTCTCAATTTCTCTGCCAAACTTAGAAATGGTGGTTGTACTGGTTGAGTTGGAATTCAAATATAATTAATTTGCTGCACAAAAAATTACAAACATTTATAGTAGTGGCAGACAGTGTTGTGTGGCACTGTGGCTCTGGCTATAGTATAGTTTTCAAGAAAATACCATGCCCATTGCGCCTGGCCATTGCCCAATTGACACATCTAAATCTTCACATCACTTATTTAATTAGTAATATAATCCCACTTGAAAAAATCTTATTTATATACCTACATACAACTACTGAACTAGCTATAATGCTATATATGGTATACCTACTAATACAAAATTTCTTTCAACAAATAGAAATTGAATAAATTCATCACATGGCTCACTAACTTTATGCAAGGAAAAATAAATTTGGCAATAAATAAAAACAGAATAATATGACTATAATAAGATAGTAAGATTCATAAAGAATTTTTTGGAACATGATCACAGCCCAGTGCCCACGCCACAGGTTGTTGAGACTCCAGAACGGCCGGCCAGCTGGCCCGGCGGCACGGCCTAGCTATATACATCATGCTTAAAAGTTAAAACTTATCTTCAACAATTACTTTTAATTACTTTTATTATCAACAATTACTTTTTTATCTATTTTATCAACAAACTTATCTTTACTTATAATTACAACGATAAGAACCTCGAGATAAAATTTAACCAATAACATTCAGTTAATCTTGGTTATTAATAGTTGGAACTTGGAAATATGTAGGTAGGTAGGTAGGATTTGGAGCTGGAAGTGGTATTTTTTTTTTTTTTTAATTGATTTTAAGACTTCGGGTATGATAAGATCACACCTCCCAGTCTGAGCACAACTTGATTTTTCTCTGAGCCTTTCTTTCTCTTGCCAACAGTCGTTCACAGATTAATCTCTAGCTCACTCTCACCAGCCGGTGGTTGTTGTGTG